TCGGCTTTCAAAAGCCCTACAAGTTTAAGTGGCCAGGAAACCATTTCGCCATGCTTTTAATTTTTTTTTTCATGTATACATAGTTTGTACCCAAAGCAATTAGTTAAGTTGAACCCCGAAAACATGTCCTACATGTGTCTCTGGTCCCCCCCCACCCCCCCACCCCCCAACCCCCAAAAGAGTAAGGACTGGATTAACTTGGCTCAAGATATGAAATGGTTTCATTTTGTTTTCTTCTGTTTCCTCATGTATTAATTTCAACACTTCTCTGTACCCGTGGTTGTAGGAAAATCTAATTATCCATTAGAAAATGCAAGGTGTGGTGGAAGGTGTGATTTTGTTTTATTTTATTTTAATTTTCAAATAAAATTAATATAAATGACGAAAATGGGAATGGCACATCCAAAGTTTGCTAAAATCATTAAGAACAAAATTTGACATCTTCTTGGATAACTGGAAACTACTGTCGAAAGTCAATACGAAATCAGTTTACAACTTTACATCAACTTCTGGGCCCGAGCAGTTTCAAATCTGTTTAAATTTCACCGTATAGTCAGTTTTCGGACTGGTCAATCAAAATAGCCAGCGTTTACCAAGTCAATGAAAAATAGTCACTATTTTGCTGCAATAGAGACCGGTCCAGCATAATATACTGGAGTTCGGTGCACTTGTGTATGAACTCCAGCATATTATGCTGGACCGGTATACTTTGTTGGCTCCAGTATAATATACTGGAGACTGGAGCACCGGTGCTCCAAACTCCAGTATATTATACTGGACCAATATACTTGCTGGAACTCCAGTATATTATGCTGGAGTTCTAGTGTACTTATGCTGGAACTCCATCATATTATGCTGGAGTTCCAGCATACTTATTCTGGAACTCCAGTATAATATGTTGGAGTTCAAGTATACTTATGCTGGAACTCCAGCATAATATACTGGAGTATTTTCCGGGTTTTGAACAGTGTTTTCGCTCAGATTTATCTTTATATAAAAAGTGGCTAAATTTCGATTACTTTTGAAATTGGGCTATTTTTGAACGACCATTTGTAAATCTGGCTATTTTTAAAATTTACCCTTCAAATCTTCGTATACTTACAAGTATAATCTACGTGGTTTACCCATTAAAAACGTCAGTTAACTCCATATACTTTTAAAATATTTATTTTACATTCTATACCTACTTTATAAAACTTTATTTGCTTCTTAAATCTTTAATATCATTATATGCCATTAAACATATCCCACCTTTTAAGGGATTAGATTATCTCTCCCAGATTCTTCTAGGTAATCTTCAATCAACGCTTAATTGGAATAATATTATATCTTTCTCAAATTTGTAGTAAGCATCGTGTGCCCATCTAATCTTTCTTACTGGTTCGATCATACAATCACTTCTTTCAAGTTTTTCCTCTCAAGCGCAAAAAGTTAAGGAAAGGATGAAGAGAAAATTGGCATTCCATAGCACTGAAAAAGTACTTGGAAAGGGCAATAAGGTTTCTTCTCCCATTGAAATTCAATCGGGAGAAGTGAAATTATTGGATGAAACTTCACATGCAATCTATGAATCGGCTTCCAAAAGGGATGATAATGCTAGATTGCGAAATTACGATCTCAATTCAAGCATCCAAAAAGGATGATGGCATAAAAGTTAGTAGGAAAAAATACGGCATGGTAAAAACTAGGGTTCCGGGTCTAAAAAGACGAAATGTTGGTGACAACAATGGCGGAAAGAAGCTTTCGGTATTGTTAGAAATCAAGCATACCACAATATTTTAAATAGTAGTACAATATTCAAATCAAGCATCCCACAATATTCTAATAAAGAATACGATATTCGAATCAAGCATACCACAATATTTTAAATTGGTATACAATATTCAAATCAAACATATCGCAATATTCTAATATGGAATATAATATTCAAACCAAAATAAAATATTAGAATAAAATATTCAAACCAACACACTTTAATAGTATCGCATTAATAGTTTGTTCTATTTTATGATTAAATATTGGTATATTGTTAGAAATTATTTGGAATACTACTTCTCTTTAACAGCATATTCTAGTAATGTTGATGTAATATTAGATTTTAATTGGATACTTCAATAGAATATTCTAGTATTATATTTTGAATATTACGATACACATTAGAATACTTTTGAGTTGTAAATCAAAAATTAAGTTGAATATGTGAGTGAAATAATAATATAATATAATTTGAATATCATTGTGTAGTTATTGAATATTATCATAGATGTAGTGAATACTCTATGTTTTAAATTAAATAATATATAAAGTAAATGGTATCAATATAAAAAAACGAATATGCCTCTTTATTTTAAGAATATTATTGTAAATGTATATTGAATATATAAACTAAATAATATCTATGGTTTAAATTAAATACTGCTATTTATTATGGAATGCATATTTAATTTCCTTACTTTTAAGAGTTTGTATTGTAAAAGGTAACGTATTTTCTAGGAATATGATAAACTTGAGTAATTGCTTTGATAGGTGAGAGGTAAATAGCAATATTCAATTCATTACCTCTAGTTATGGCTATATTTAAGGGATATTATCCTATATAATCGTGACTGTTGGATAAAGAAGGTATATGAAGTAATTATTTTAAGAATTTTTAACTTTAGGATATATGGTGTAAAGAGGCCACGTAGATAGGTATATGGCGTAACTTCCCCATATTACAACTCGACATCATTATGCACACATTCTTAGTGGGAAAAGAAAAGGAAAAAAAGATATAAGCAAGCATCAATGATCTGAAAAGGGTGGATATATCAACTTGCAATGATCAAGCAGTCTCCTGTACATGAGCAACTCCTTCTCAACCTACCCACTGGCGGACCCCGAATTTTATATAAGCGAGTTCAGATTAACACGACAATAGCCGGCATAAAATCAACATCAAGCATAATAAGCAAGATTTGCTAGCTACTCTAATTTTTTTCTTTTTATTTTCCACCTCAAAATAAAGTCATCATTTTTAAGTCAGCGTTCTTTTTTTTAACAAGTAGTGCATTTTTTTAGAATAGAATTATAAAATCTATTTAAATTTATCTTTAAGATAATTTGTCTACTTAATTTGACAAATTTTGCTTTAAAAATTTTAAGCTTGATTAACAAATTAAAAGTATATTAAACTCGGCATCATATAAAAAAATCTGAATTCCTTTCCTTGTTTCATAACGAAAACAAAGTTATTGTTTATAAGAAAAAAAATCGTGATGAAAGAGTTTAGAAATAAACTAAACTAATACACATAATTAGATAAAGAGAGCTTATAAGCCGAATAGTAATAATATAAAACAAGAAGACAATATGGACAGATAAACAATTCAATATAGACCAAACTAAAGTAATCTACAAAATAATAAATCACTTCAACAAATGTTCTTGCATGTTTTACTGGAAATCAGTGAGAGGAGAACAAATTAACTTTGAATTAAGTTTTAACTTGAAGTAAATAAAGCTGAGCCCCATTCAAGCATAATGCCAAAACCTGCCCAGAAGCGCTGCAGGATCGAACATTGGACCCTCCGGTAAAGTTGAACCCACTTGACCATCGACTGAATAAGAGTCAATTACTCAAATGGTCATTCAACTATCCCAAATTATCTCATAAAGTCATTTTTCTTTCGTTTGTAACAACAAAGTCACCGAAATATGCCTATTGCACTCAGAAGGTCACTCAACTAGATTTCCAAATTTTGAAATGGCAAATACCTATTTTACCCTCTAAATTATAGTAAACATTTATCTTCTTTTTATTTTTTAAGCTTTTTAGTATTAACAACAAAAATCCAAAAACTTATTTACACAATTCAGAATGAAAGAAAATAAAGGTTGTAAAATATATATTCCTTGCATGTAATATAAAAATAATTATTTAAATAAAGGTACTTTTATAATATACATTATATATTCTTGAAAATTATGCGCAGTTATATTATTATGTCTCTACCAACTTTCCGACGATACAAAGTTATGTCACCGGAAAGCAGGGGGACCATCTGTGTAGGGTATAACGTGCTATGTTATATATATAATATAATTGAGCATAATTTTCAAGAATATATAATGTATATTATAAAAATACCTTATTTAAATAATTATTTTTATATTACGTGCATGGAAAATATATTTTACAACCTTTATTTTCTTTTATTCTGAATTGAATAAATAAATTTTTGAATTTTTGATGTTAGTACTAAAATTATTATTACTAACAAATTATTCTAATTAATTTTTTTACTATGCTCATTATTTTGTTATTCCAGCATTATATATGCTTAAATACTTTTTATTTTTTTAATTTATAAATAATATTTATTTTGTTATATAGGTAAGTCCACAATGTAAATTAAAAGGGAAAAATTATAATATTAAAAAGTTTAAGAAAATAAAAAGAAAATAAATATTTATAATTTAGAGGGTAAAATAGGTATTTGGCAATCCAAAATTTAGAAAATCCAGTTGAGTGACCTTCTGAGTGCAATAGGCATAGTTTAGTGACTTTGTTGTTACAAACGAAAGAAAAGTGACTTTAGGAGATAATTTGGGATAGTTGAGTAACCATTTGAGTAATGGACTCACTGAATAATGATTTTGATTTCAAAGTGGGTTTTATTTATTTAAATATAGAAAAGCTGTTCTTTTTTAGATGACATTTACATCTATACGCGATATAATTTTCGGATGAAGCGGGTTCATATGAACCCTTTTGACACCATGTGGGTCCGCTCCTGAACCTACCTCAACTAATCTTTATAACGATGATATTGGGGCCAACTTGAGCGTACCTCAACTATTCCATATGGTACTTGCTATCTCTTACCAATACAGGCACCAGGTAAATTATCACAGGTTTTTTCGAGTCAAAGACTCAATGCTTATTAGGTTCATGTGAATCTTTGTTGTTTCTTTGCTGTACAAAGGAAAAAAAACCAAGAAGAATAAGAACAGGTAGATGAGTAGTCTTCTTATCTAAAGGCAAGCAAAAAGGGCCAAGAAAATTTACAAAATACAAGTTAAATAACAAAGTTATTAGATACAGCAGGAACTTCTTTAGTATTTTTCGCAGCAGGGAGGAACACGGATAATTTATGTGTGCCTATTTTGTATGTAAGTAAAGAAGCTTGCATAAAAACATATGAATACAGAGAAATTGCTTATGACTATTCTGTACATTATCGTCTTTCCATTAGCATCCAAATCTATGAAGATCTATCAAATACCTTCACAGAGGAGATAAAACACTTCTTGCATGGTTAATGTTCATGGTCACCTTCCTCTTCAGAATCTGCATAAAATAGAACACGATGACCGACCAATAAAAAAAGGCAGCCCGGTGCACTAAGCTCCCGCTATGCGCAGGGTTTGGGGAAGGGCTGGACCACAACGGTCTATTGACCGACCAATAAGATATTAAATTTAAAACAGGAGCTATAACATATGGAAGCAAATATAACTATAGATTAGAAGCTAGAGAATATAGCTATAGATTAGAAGCTAGCGAATACAGCTATAGATTAGAAGCTATATGACGCTATTGAGAAAAACCAAGTTATCATATGTCAGTTAACTCAGTGATAGAGAGCGTCTCAGATCACGTCGTGTATGTTCCAACAATTTAAACCAAGTAACTTCTCTAACATGGGCAGATTAATATAAAAACCAAGTTATTATATGTCAATTAACTCAGTGATAGAGAGCGTCTCAGATCACGTCGTGTATGTCTCAACAATTTATACCAAGTAATATCTTTAACGTGAGCAGATTAATATGCTAAAGCACATCTATCAACATGGTTAGGATTAATTAACTAATTACTTTAGCTAACAAACAAACATAAAGAAAGTTAATCATACAGAAGAAAGGAATAATCTAGTCATAATACCGTAATGAAAGGAACATAAATAAAGGATGAAGATATATGGATTGCCTATAATGTAAGTGCATTCTTATTTTCATGTTGCTAAATGGCATGAAAGTTTCAGTAATACATGCACTCTTGCACCACTATTCGCTGATCAGAGAATGCAAGTATATAGTTCATGGAGTCAAATTTTATTCTTCACAATTTTCAGAGCCCAGATTTTTCATAATTCCGTCAATCTAAGACCGGAAGGATCATCTTCGTATCCACAGAAACATCACAAATTGTCATCCTTGGACTCCATAGTTGGGAAAATATTTACTATTCTAGTTAGAGAATTCAGTTAACAAAGGATTTAAAGTGTCACTGGAAACTGAGTGAAACGGATCCAGCTCTGGTTTCCATGATGGAAACCATTTCAAACAGAAGTCAGTAAGGTTGTCAATCCTTTTTTCCATTCCAAAGAGAAGCTTGGTGATTGAAGCGTGCAATAATCACAATCGTATTTCATAACAACCTTATGGGTGATATTGAACTTAGATAAGTAGTAACTGATTCTATCCCTTAAAGCACAACGGATTCATTAGGAAAAGGCATTACTCTACACAGGCAATTTTATCATACAAGCTATAAAATTAGACTTCAAATGTATGATGCTTCATGTCGTAACAACTGAAATTGTCGCCATAGATGTCATATCAAGATGTTATACAAGATAAGTATGTCGCTTTTTTAGCTTACCAGATCTAACATCCTCACTTAGTTGGCCCCTAGACTGGATTTGTTTAACAAGCATCCGGTATATCAACACCCACCAATATATATGAAGAACCAGCAAGCAGTATAGAAGCGAATTGAATACGTAGTAGTAGATTGGTCCTTCAACTTTGTGCTTCTCTTTATCCAAGGTCTGGATAACTTCGTAACTGTGTAGAGAAAACAAAAAGAATAGGATTTCCAAAAACAACTTTTTCTCGTAAGTAAAGTCTCTGAAAAGAATAAAAAAGGGTACAATGCAATCGTTAATTCCATTAGGAAAACAAAATGACTGTTAATTCTCAGCATAATTCGCTCAAGAACACCCACATGACAAGGACATGGAAAGTGAACTAGAGAGAATAATATAAAGAAGCAAACACAAGTATCTTTACTGGAGCTATTTGTTTCTTATCAACAAGACAATGTACATTTTAACTTTATTCTATGAGGACTACATGATACTGTGCTTCTAGACAGTGAAAGAAGGAATATGATATGCAGCAAAGCAGTATTTCAGTAAACATTCTGCATTCACCAACGACTAGACCAATCCTAGGTCAAACTTTCCAAAATTATTAGCGAAAAGTATATTTTCAATTACGATTACTTTTATCCCCTTTCACACACTGAATGCCTTACTGTTATCATCATATTATGATAGTCACTAGGCCGATAAGGCAAACGTTCTAGTGTCTATTCCAGTATAAAGAAGGTCCAATGAAATAAGCAATCATGAGAAGGAAAATTACTGAGCATAAATTACTTGCTAATGATCAGGTTCTTCAAATACTCACCTTGTACTCCAAAGAACCCAGAAAGGGAAGTATGTGAGGCGAAGTACAATCCAAGATAAAGCAAAAAGCACAAATGAAAAACTGGCAAGACCTTCAGCACCACTGTATTTGGACATTTTTCCTATTTCCAGGAATACATCACTAGCATCATGAAGCGCTAAAACAACTGAACCAACTCTTGCAAACCTGCATAAAGGTGAAAAAAGCTAATAGAACTCCAATTGAATTATTCAAAAAGTTATTAATTAGTTCAAAAGAGCTATCAACCTCTTAATATGTGGGTGAATTTCAAATGTTTAAAATCATCATTAACTTTTTGAATGTGTCATTGCTTCTCTCAGATTTTTATGCGGAAGTAGGTTGTCAAGAAATGCAATGATCTTTAGCTCACCTCCACAAAAACACACCTGAAAATATAGGACAAGACAATAAGAATCACAGTAGCCACATGATGACTCATTGAAACCCCAAAGTCCGAACGTCTTGTTTCCCAGAATAGAAGTGCAAATATCGAATATGCATAAAATCCACCAGCATACATATATAGTGCCTTTAGCTTTGACCTAAATTTACGCAAGACAGTCACTCCAATAATTAGTTAGCATGAACAAAAAAGATTCAATCAAAGCATGGAAGTCAAATTAGCCAATAGCGCATGAAAATCTTATGATACATGAGAATAAATGACAACAATTAATAGATTTTGTAAAGCAAAGAATCACAATTGTTTCCTTGAAAACCATAGGAATTTCTTAGCTGTCACAAAAAGTCAGTAACTTTTGACAAATAATTTCTTAAGAAATCACAACTCCAACTACCCATCCTCAACCCAGCTCTCCACCTCACAAAAGAAAAAGATACACGAACCAGTTAAAAGCTCAACAGAACAGAAACATCTTACTTATATTTCTGCTCAGGCCAGACCTGATCTCCAGGCCCTACCCAATAGTATCTGGTTGTTTTCAACCAAGGCTCATTGTAGGTCACTGAAAGTGCGAAAACTTCTGCTGATAGAAAATACACACATTTCCATGCTGATTCTTTGAATTTCCGTAACCTTCTTCTCCATCTATCTGTCTCACTTTCCAGCACCAACTTTCTTTTTCCAAATATTAACCTTCTAGCCACTTTCTGCAACATGTACAACCATTCTACATTAAAGAAATTATGATCAAAGAAGTGTAAGACTGTCTAGAATACAGACATAGAGCAACAAATGAATTCAGGATAAGATTCTGCATATCCTTTACTTAAAACTTAAGCATGAAGGCCACCATGTTACATTTACTCATGGCTATGAGTTGTCAATCATATTTTGGTAGTGAATTTCTTTAGGAATTTCAGAATATGAACATGATATATGATAATAGGTGAATTTGACTATAATCACACCTTAAATAATCACCTTTTTGTGTAGTTTTAATGCTAAAAGTGATAACAAAATGCTCTTATTAGTGCTTTTCATGATTTGCAGGTGATATATGTATAAGGAAGGCTAAGGAGCAGTTTTGGAGTCAAAAATTGGAGAAAAGAGGCCAAATGTGTAAATTACCAATGAAGTTACGCCCTGCCAGCCCTTAGGATTCAGAAAAATGGTTTGGCCGCGGTTCTACCGCGACCGCGGCAGAACCGCGGTGGAAGGCAGCTTCAGAACTTTAGAGATTCAGAGAGGGTGATTGGCCGCGGTTCTACCGCGACCGCGGCAGAACCGCGGCAGGCGCAGAAAAGTTCAGGGGTCAAAGTGTCAAATACGGAATTTTTAGACCTAAACCCTATTTAAAACATTAGACTTCGCCCAAGAGAATTATTATTGATTTTTAAGGCTTCTTAGCAAGGAAAACCATTGTGAGAGAATACTCAAAACATCTTTCTTCTTTACTTTTGATTTTTATGATGAATTCTATCTTAGTTTATGTTCCCATAGCCATAAGTAGCTAAATTCCTTGTCTAAGGTTTTGATGGAACCTATTGGGTGATGAACTTCTTGTTTATGTGAATACAAATTGCTAGTTTAATCTCTATTTGTTCAACTTCGTGTTTGTTATAGTTAATTGACAGGATCCTCAATTAGCTGTGCCTATTTAGTGTGCATAACTTGGAAAAGAGTGCATATTTAGGGTATTGTTGAACAACACCACTCCTAGATTATTAGAGGAATCTATAATTGCGGGTTTAAAGGCGGGATTAGGGATAACGAAGCCTTGGGTGTAATCTAAAGTGAATCGTGCTAAATAAAGTAAGCTAGTGTATCTCGTGAGAGTGCAATAGTAAATTACTGTGATTACTCGGGAGAGATTTACGGTAAGATTAGCGTTCATGATTGATAGAGATGTGTTGGTAAATTTGTATGAGCATAAACAGAAGGGATTCCATCAATAGGGGAAATCATTGTCTTAGCTTTTTATTATAATTGTTTACAACCTTATTAGTTTAGTTTACAGCTATTTAGTTACTTGCAAGCATAGTTGTTAAAGAACATTCAACTGAGATTTGAATATTTGGGAAGCTGGTTCTGAAGAATTAGTGGGTCTGAAGATAGTGGTTGATAGGTTAACTCTCTGTGGATTCGACCCTGGGCGTATATTTGCAACGTCCGCAAAGTCCTTTTTATAAGGCATAGTTGGGCGTGATCAATATATAAACAATTTCCAGATTAAGGTCCTTTTTCTCATGAACAAATTTGCCTCTGTCTTCTACCAAACCCTATAGTCCTTCTCCTTCAGGCACGATAAGGTGTCATCAAACAAGTTAGGATCCGCTATATGACACTTATAAGTAGAGATGCTCTACATTCTCTACTGATACACATAGCTCTAAACAAACTATAACATCAGACCTAATGTAAGAATTATTAGAAAAGAGAAAGAAAAGAAACAAGCAAAAAACTGATCCAATATGGTATAAGGTAACCGGTAAACACTTATTTGCATCAGGTGCTTACATCAAACCAATGAAGGAAAGATGTGTGTTTCATGCCCAAATTTATCACTTAAACAAGGTTAAGTAAAATATACGTTTACTTTAATTGTTAACTACCAAGATTAAATTATTTGGTTTGGTGTAAACACAATATGCGCGTAAGTTTTTGCTTGAGGTGACCTCAGTCAATGTCCAATGACGAACATAGAAATCGAGCAAGTTAAATTTCAGATCCAACCACTCCAGAATCACCAAAACAAATAAAACCCGTAAAAAATACTCCCTCCGGTCCAAAATAAGTGATTTTCTAGTTGTTGTCACACAGATTAAGAAATCCACCTTTTAACATTAATTAGCAATGAAATTGACCATATTAACCTTTAGTATCTCTTCACATAAATACTCCTAACACATACTCCAACACTATTTACTCCAAGGGCAATGTTGAAAAAAATAATTAATCCATTCTTGAAATCTGGAAAAATCACTTATTTTGGACCACAAAAAAAAAGCCAAAAAATCACTTATTTTGGACCGCAGGGAGTACTAAATATGTTGAGAAAAAGGACATTTATAGCATGTTTGGCCCAACATTCGAATCTTCTTATTTGGAAAAGTGTGTTCTTTCATAAATGCTTTTGGAAAAGGTAGTAGTAGCAGTTTCTGATTGGCTAATCAAATTGAAAAATACTTTTGCCAATATTAAAGGAGTGATTTTATTTTGTGTCTCACATAACTTACACTAATTGTGTGAGGCCTCTTTTTATCTCACATATTTGTGGACCCATATCTTACACATCTGGATCCACAAAATTCTGGGACCACACAGTTGTGAGACAAAAAAGAGTCCTCGTACAAAGTGGTTTCGGGAAAAAGGCCACCGTAATTTGTGCTTGGCCAAGGTTCCATAAGTGGTTTCGGGAAAAAGCTACTTTTCGACTGAAAAATAGCTTTTGATTCTACTCCAAAATCAGTTATTTTGTCCTAAAGCTTGGACAAACAACTCTAACTCTCTCAACTTTTCTTTAAACAAATACTTGTGGCTTCCCAGAAACTTGGCCAAACAGACTAGGATCGTGAAACCTCCTTTTATTCCAAATTTCATTTTGTACACAACTAACCCAGTAACTGGAACATTCAAAAGAAATTACAATCAAAGAGAAAAATGACAACTTTTAAAGAAGTACATACCTCAAATACGAATTTATCAAGAAAATATCTGACAGTGGGAAAGAAAAGGGCAAACAAAGGAAGCACTATGAAATCTTCATATTGTGGGTACGATTCTTGTTCCCAATCAATATAATTCCCCATTTCAAGCACACCCATTTGCCTGAATTTTCAAAAAGATGCAATCTTTACAGAGAATTTGTCTGTGAGAAGAGAACATATATGTATCTGTGTTTCAACAGTGGCACTGTGGCCGCCAGTTGGCAGATATGCCCACGTTGGCTTTGACCTTTGTCGCCTAACTTAAAAATGGGTTCCTACTAGTCAAAGAATTCTTTGGTTTAGGCCTATAATCTTGTGCTGGCAGAAGGAGATGATCAACAGCTTATTTTCTTTTTGGCTAAATTTGAATTAAAAATTAACTTAAACTTCCCTTTATTATAATGACAAATTTTTTATACCTATATAAATATCGGAAAATGGCTAAATATACCCCTCTACTTTCAAATATTGTTTACCTGCACCCCTCGTTATACTATTGGGTTATTTATACCCCTACCGTCATACTATTGGGTTAACTATACCTCTATTGTCATACTTTGAAACAAAAATACCCCTATTTTGAATGGAGTGCCACGTGGCAACACCAGATTAAAACGACTCATTTTCTTTTTTTACCCGACCCATTTTTAAAAAAACAACACCAACCCGACCCCTATTTTCATATTTTTTCCAGTTTTTTTAAAAATTTTAGTTTTTAAAAAACAAAAAATATTTTGTTAAAAAACAAAAAAAAATATGTTTTTACAAAAAAAAAAAAATTCCAGTTTTTACAAAACAAAATTCTTTTAAAAATTGAAAAAATGAAAAAAAATATTTTTCAAAAACGAAAATATTTTGTTGAAAATTTTTTTTTCAGTTTTTAAAAAACAAAAACATTTTGTTAAAAAACAAAAATATTTTTTTTCTGTTTTTACAAAAAAAATTAGTTTATACAAATTTGTTTTTTCAGTTTTTACAAAAAGAAAATCTTCAAAAACACTGAAAAAATGAAAAAAGAAATTTTTTCAAAAAATATTTTGTTTTAAATATTTTTTTCAGTTTTTAAAAAACGAAAATATTTTGTTAAAAACTGGAAAAAGAAATTCAGTTTTTACAAATTTTTTTCAGTTTTTACAAATATGTTTTTACAGTTTTTACAAAAAAAATATTTTGTTAAAAAAACGATTTTTTTCAGTTTTTATAATTTGTTTTGCAAAATCTTTTTAGTATCTACTCAGTTTAAAAAAAGGAAAATATTTTGCAATTTTTTTTTAGTTTACAAAAGGAAAATTCTTTAAAAAAACTGAAAAATGAATATATGGTTCGGGTTGTGGTTTTTTTGTAAAACGGGTTGGGTAAAAAAAAGAAATGGGTCATTTTAATATGGTGCCATCCAAAATAGGGGTATTTTTGTTCCAAAGTATGACGGTAGGGGTATGGATAGTCCAATAGTATAACGAAGGGTACATGTAAACAATATTTGAAAGTAGAGGAGTATATTTGGCCATTTGCCGTATAAATATTATGATATATTTAAAAAATACATGTTTCAAAAGTTTTATAACACATAAATATTGTCCCATGTCTAAACTATGAATTCCATAAATTGTTTTAATTATTTCTTAAATTTTATGTCCAATCAAAATATGTCATAGGAATTGAAACAGACAGTGTTAAGCATTTCTAGTACGGAAAAGGGTCATATTTACACCTCTAATCTTCAAAAAGGGTTATATTTGCCCTTTGTTATACTTTTTTGATATATTTATCCTTATCGTTATACTTTAGGATCATATTTGCCCATGTACTCTTCAAAAAGGATTAAATTTGCCCTTCGTTATACTTTTTTGACATATTTATCCTTACAGTTATACTTTAGGATCATATTTGCCCCTCATCCATTAAATCCCCATGTCCCACCTTTTTTTTCCTACATTGTGCCTATGTGGATTTTTTTTCCCTCCAATTTAAATATGGTCACATATTTAAGATAATTTAACCCGCCCACCCAATTAAACCAGACCCACTAACTAAAATAAACTGAAATCCTAATTCCCAACCCCCCATTCCTCCATCTCTTCTCCGGATCAGCTCCATGTTTTTCGGATAGCAGCAGCAACCTATCAAATCAAGTCCGAGCTAGAAAATTTGGGACAATGAGTGAAGTGTTACCTCTAATTCATCCGACGGCAACAACTCGGTTCAGTCTCGCTTATAGGCGCCATTCAAAACTTCACTCATCTTGACATTTTCTTAAATAAACTTGAAAGTTTTCTTCGAGTTTTAGCTTTTGTCAGTGCTCTATTTTAAGCATTGATCTTTGTCATTAACTCCATTGTTGTGCAACTTCTCGTAATTTACTTTGGTTACTGCAATAATTGTGAGCTGTATCAGATTAGTGATTTTGATTTCAAAGTTTTTGTTTGCCAATATATTGCCGCTGCTATCCGAAAAACATGGAGCAGAAAAAGAACTTTATCTTAAATAGGTGACCATATTTAAATTGGGTGGGCGAGTTATATTATCTTAAATAGGTGACCATATTTAAATTGGAAGAAAAAGAAATCCACATAGGCGCCATGTAGGAAAACAAAGGTGGGACATGGGGATTTAATGGATGAGGGACAAATATGATCCTAAAGTATAACTGTAAGGATAAATATGTCAAAAAGTATAACGAAGGACAAATGTAACCCTTTTTGAAGAGTACGGGGACAAATATAATCCTAAAGTATAACGGTAAGGATAAATATATCAAAAAAGTATAACGAAGGACAAATATAACCCTTTTTGAAGAGTACAGCGATAAATACGACCCTTTTTCGTTTCTAGTATATGACTTAGGAGAGAAATTTAGGAGCCGTTTGGACATAAAAAAATTCCCTTTTCCAAAAAAAAAATCAAAAATGTTTGGTTATACATTTAACTGATTTTTTGAAAATGAGTTTCCAAAAAGATTTTGAAGATGAGTTTCAAATTTGAAAAAGTAGATTTTACCACTTTTTCATATCAAATTTGATTTCCCCTTACAAAAGTGTAATATTTTTTTGAAGTGAAATATGAATGCATGTCCAAACATAATTTCAAATATCTTTTTCAATTTTAACTCCGAAATTATTTTTTTCAAAAACGGAAAAGGTTCAAATATACCCTTATACTATACGAAATTGAGCACATTTGCCCTTCATTAATACTTTAGCTCATATATATCCTTACCGTCACATAGTTGGTCCATATATACCCTTACCGTCAGATAGTTGGTCCATATATGCCCTTTTCAAAGCGGAATCCACCCAAACTAATTACTCCGCTCTTTCTTTAGTTGTATTAAAGTGTATCACAAACACTAATTCCTTTTATTAGTACTTTTTTTCTTTGCCTTTCTCTTTTTTTTCTTTTTTTTCTTTTCTTCTCTTTTCTTTTTCCTTTTTCTTTCTACCATATCCGATTTCCTCCATTGCTGATGCCTTCTCCATTTCCTTCACCAATTTCACGTGATTTTATTCCTAAAAATCAAACCTACACCACCAAAAGCTTCCTAGCGAGAAGGCTAAAAGAATGAGATGAAAATTGCCGGAGAAATTTTTTCGGTGGTGTTAATTTGGTGAAGGTAGGATATGATTATTTAGATTTTGAAGGTGTTGTTTTCTGTGTAGCTTCAGATCTGAAGGGAACAAGACCTTCAAATCTGAATAACCATATCCTACCTTCAGCATATTAACACCATCGAAAAAATTTCTCCGGTAATTTTCATCTTCTTCAGGTCAGAAGAACCCGTGGGGTTTGTGATAGTAAAATTAGCAAGAATTCATGAGTTTTGTCAAGTGAAATTGGTGACGAAAATGGAGAATGCATCAGCAACGGAGGAAATCGGATATAGGAGAAGAAAAAGGAAAGAAAAAAAAAGAGGAAAAAAGAAAAAAGAAGAAAGGAAAGAGAAAGGTAAATTTTAAAAAAGTACCAATAAAAAGGAAATAGTGTTTGTAATACACTTTAGTACAATTAACGAAAGAGCTAATTAGCTTGCGTGGATTCCGTGACGGTAAGGGCATATATAGGGACTAACTATGTGACGGTAAGGGCATATTTGGGCTAAAGTATTAATGAAGGGCAAATGTGCTCAATTTCGTATAGTACAAGAGCATATTTGGACCTTTTCCGTTTCAAAAATCACATTTTTGATGTGCAAAAGCCTACTTAATTAATCCATACCAGTAAGAATTGATATCACCACTCTAGTACAATTCAAACAAACGATAAAGAAACCATAATGCAGGCTTAAGTCAAAGATGATTGAATATGTAGAGAATCGAGATATCATAAGTCGAAGAAGATTCTAACTAATCCAAGTGGCCGAATTGATGAATATTAGTGGTAGACACGTGAATATTTGTTGATGAATATAGTGATGAAGACATTGTAAATTTTACCATCGTTATCGCTTTTACGTTGGCACTTCTGACTTCTTAGTTAGTTAGGTTCAAAACGTCCTGAAATTAATACCTAGTTTGTGCAGAGTCGATGACCATTAAACATGGGTGAATGTAGAGTCGAACGATATGGATTTGGCGGAACCTGAATAGCTTTCATTTAAATTATATATTTGTCTGAAATAAAATTCATTTAACATGTATAAATTATCAATTTAGAACTCACTAAAAAAACTACAATTCAAATCCATATAATCATGTACGATCAAGTTTTAAAGAGAAAACAGTAAAAGATTGGAAAATGATGAAAAGTATTATAACAAAATAGGACATCTCTCAGGTCAAAGACGGACCTATGACTTATGTTAAGGGGTCACCAGACTACGTAAACTTCAGCAGAAATTATGTATATGTATATGTGTATACCTTAAAAAGGGTTAATTTAAATCACTTGGCACCCTTAATGCTAAAAGCCTTTAGGGGCTAATATTGTGCCCGTCGCATTAAATTCCTAGGTCCGCCTCTGTCTCGGGTTGTTGGTCCAATTACTATTATTGATGCAACTTGAAAACCATGTTCAAGAAAGTATTCGTTCCCTTTGTGCAAAATAAGTATAGAACATCAGGTATGCTGTAATTTACGTCAGACTAGAAAAGAACATGCAAATAGTTTGTTATAACTTCAGTTGCGAGAAGTTAAATTTCCTTTTCTTACATTTATTACAACCTATTTGGTTGTGTGTTATTTTCACGAAACCTAGCCATCACAATCAGATTCCAAACTATAAACTTACTCCGACACCATGCAAATTGGTACTCGGATAATATAAATCAGATTGTGCAAAATGATAGATAACTAAAAGATTTTCTCAAGATTCTGGCTCATCAACTTGACATTTTCAGAATACGCCATTTCAGAAT